CTAAGAATTCATAAAAACCGATAACTCGCACGAGCACTCAAATCATTAATTAAGTGTGAAGTTACAAATAACATATTATTTATATTAAATTCGTACTCTCGTGACCTCTTGCGTTGTTGAGTAAGAAATCGTTTGAAATTAACTCAAGTGGATATATATCAATGAAAATAAGTACTGAAATTATTCATAATATATAACTGTAATATGAAATTTGAAGATCAAATTTATGAAATTGAATATATATATATATATATATATATATATATATATATATATATATATATATATATATATATATATATATATATATAATTTGGAATGGTATTAAGAAAAGATAGTGTCAGCCCTAGTTCCTCACAGCTCAAAGTGTCTATAAGCAGAGCATAAATCTATTTTCAAGAAAGGATATAATTCAGCCCAAGTTTTTCATAGTGTTAAGTATTCTACGATTCAAGAGAAAATTATAATAAGAGAGGAAATAATTGTATACCTAATCACAAGAGAGAACCAACTCAGATAGAAGCCAAGTTTATTCAATCTCAAGTACTCACTATGAAAGGCTAGGAGATAATCTGCCTAGCCTGTAAAAAATCGAGTCTATTTCACAAATGTGCAAAACCATTTGCTCTTATTTACAACAATAATAGTAATGCTAAAAAAATTAAATAGTGTAAACAATACAAAGTGTAATATAGGTAATTTAGGCATAATTCGAAACTATCGCAAACATCATAGTTAATAGTTATTACCCAAGAAAGTTAGTTGATTTAATAGCGCAAAACTTACAATGAAATAATTTTTTACATCGAAATTTACATAAAAAATTTTTACATAGAAAGATAATCAAGATAATCGCTTGTAGAAGTAATTATAAATAAGAAATACGTAAATTGTTCGAAATTCTAGAGTTAAGAGTTAAGGAGAGAGGACGTGTGTCTGGCATGGAGCAGGAAAAGTGTCAGAGAAAGTGGAAAGTGTGAGAGTGTGATTGAGATTGTGTTGAAAAAGAATAGAGAGAGCTGCGAAAGAAATAAGTAGATAAGGTTAGGAACTGAAAAAGGCAAAGAGTGGGAATAATATCGGGGAGAGAGGTAGGAGAGTAATAAAACAGAAGAATGGGGACGGATCACAGCAGCAGGAGATGGCAAAGGCACTGGCGCTAAACATACTCGCGACAAAAATCGGGGTAAATAGGAAGGAGAGAGAAATGAGAACCGTAATAAAACAAGAAAAGCGTGAAGGGAAAGAGGTAGAAGAAGGAAGAAAAAAGAGTGGAAGAGAGGAATGTGATGTGAAAGTGGAGAAAGGTAAAAGAGAGGAAGAGATGAGTAAAGGGGATAATCAATCAAAGAAGAGGTATAAAAGAGAAGCGAAGAGTGCAGAGGAGAATCGAAGATAGCTGAAGAAATGGAATCGGAGATAAAAGAAAAGAAGAGAGAACAAAGAGAGGTTAGGGAGAATTGGAGAAAAGAGATGAGAAAAATAAGAGAGAAAATAGAAGCAATATAGGTCAAAAACAAAGAAGGGGACAGAGAGGTGGGCTGGAAGAGCAAACTGTAAAAGGTGGAAGAAGAAATGAAGAAAATGAAAAACGGAATGGGTAGAATGCAGAATAATAGAAGAGGAAGGAATGCGGAAACAAAGGATGAGGTAGAAATGTTGGTAGAAAAATGGAAAGGAAAAGAAGGAAGAATAATATAATAAAAAATGCAGGGACAAATAGTGAGTTTGATGCAAGTAAGAAAAAAGTTACAAAGAGGAGGACAGATGGGCAAGAAGTAAGAAGAGGGAAAAAAATGTGGTAAGTAAGTTGTACATGAGAACAAAAGGAGGCTGTAATGAAAAGAAAGAGTTGGTTAGGGGAGAGAAAAGTATACATAGATCAAGATTGGACGTGGAAGCAAAGTAGGATAAAGAAAAAAGTGCGGAGAATGATAGTGGGATGAGAAAAAAAATGATATTGAAAAGAGGAAGGGGGTTTCGTATATAAAGAAGTGAGAGAATAGGATAAAAGAGATAGAGGACAGGATAAGAAAGAAATTATTATGATCTTCTGGAACGTGGTGAGAATAGGAAATTTTGAAGAAAAAGATTGGGAAAACATCAATTATAACGAGATAGTGGGACTCTCGGAAACATGGATAAAGCAAGAAAGAGCGGGTAAAATGATGGAAAAACAGGCTAAAGGGGTATAAAATACAGGGTGAGTCATTTTAATCTATGGACCATCATATCTCTAATTCTATGCATAGTACAGAAAAATAGTTCAAACAAAAGTTGCCGACTACCAAGGAGGCCATATTTTGGTAACCTTAAATTTGACCTTGAATATACGGGCTAAGGTCATTCCAAGGTCAATGTTTTTTTAAATAGGAACCCTTAGTTTTTATCTCGGATTAGGATTCTGTGTTAAATTCTACGTTCAAATCATTTAATATGTGTTAGGTCCAAATAATCACTTACCCCACCCCCAACATCATTTCAAGGTCAACCTTACTTTTTTTAATGGAAACCTATATTTCTCACACCGGATTTGGAAAACGCGGGAAATTATTCGTCCGGAATAAATTTAAAGGTTTATTTTCGTGACTTTTCGAGGGTTAATTCAAGGGCAACATTTTAAAAAGTTAGATAATTATTTTAAGTTTTCCGAGGAAACAGTCACAGTAAAAGTAGCTTTCTATTACATATTGAAAGGTTATTGAGGGGTTATTGAGGTATTATTGAAAGATTATTGAGAGATTATTGAGAAGTGTTAGTAAAGAGTTGACTCTCACGTTCGGGGTGCTTGTTTAACGTGAGTCTCATTGCCCTTCACGTTCGGGGTGCTTCTTTAACATGAGTTCCCTTGCCTCTCATATTCGGGATGTTTGTTTAATGTGAGTCCCTTTGCCTCTCATAACTCTTACCACAAAGTTAAATAAATTTATTTAAATCTTCATTTCTTTAAGGTGAAATCAATAAATTTTAATTTATTAATATTTTAAATAGAACACGGTTAAACTGCTTTACATAAATAATCACATGAAGTTAGAGGGAAGGGGAAAGAGGAGCGAAATAATACGAGCGGTAGGATAGGGAGTGAGATGAGTACTGGAGGGAGTGAAAAGAAGAGGTTGGGAAAAGGAAAGGAGGAAAGGACAGGTCGATATTTTCTTATTTAAGTTATTTTCGAGGTCAACAGTGTCACACTCAAGTTAACATGTTTTAAATAGATACTTTCACAGCGACTGCTTCGTTAGAGAACATAAAAAAATCATTATCTAACTTTTTAAAATGTTGCCTTTGAATTGACCCTCGAAAGGTCACGAAAATAAACCTTTAAATTTATTCCGGACGAATAATTTCCCGCGGTTTCCAAATCCGGTGTGAGAAATATGGGTTTCCATAAAAAATAAGGTTGACGTTGAAATGACTTTGGGGGGTGGGGTGGGTGATCATTCGAACCCCATTAATATCTCATCATCTGAACGTATATATTCACGTAGAATTCAAACCTGCGACGAAAAATTAAGGGTTCCATTCAAAAAGTAAGGTTGCCCCGAAATGACTGTGGCGGTGGGGTGGGTGGTCATACGGACCCCATAAATATCTCATCATCTGAACGTACAATTTGACGTAAAATTCAAACCTGCGACGAAAAATAAGGGGTCCCATTCAAAAAGTAAGGTTGACCTTGAAATGAATTTGGGGATGGGGTGGGTGGTCATTTGGACCCCACACATATTACATGATTTGAACGTAGAATATCTGAGATAAAAAGTAAGAGTTCTTATTTAAAAAAACAAGATGTAAGAGGAAGGAGTGGTGCAAGGAAGGAAAAAAATAAGAATAATAGGATACGCGTACGATATAATATTGCTAGCAAAAAATAAGAGGGGAATGAAGTCAATGCTGAAAAAGTTTTAGAGGAGAGAGGATTGGAGCTAAATGTTGAAAAATCAAAAATCACGAAATGCAGGAATGGTAGAGGAAGAGGAATAGAAGAGAAATTTGAGTAAAGTAAGGAAGAGCAAAGAAGAGAAAATAGAAATGATAAAAGAATATAATTACCTAGGATACTTGGTAAGCAGGAACAATGGAAACCAAAAGCATATCAAAAGAACGGAAGTATAGATAAACACAGGGATAGTTAGACTTTGGGGAATAGAAGAAAGACTTATCAAAGAAAATTAGATACTGACAATGGAATTATTTCAAGTGATGAATTGTTGGATTTGATGAAACTACACGTACAATGGTAAATAATTCTGTAGACCAATTATATCCTTTTATATATGCTTTTTCAAATATTTGCTTTGCATTTTTCACTCTCACTTTATCACCAACTTTGAACTTTCGCCTCTTTCTTATACACTCTTGCGCAGAATTGTGCAATACTTGATCTTGATTTACTGTTGTAACTTGAATAGGTTTTATACCAATCGTTATGATATCGTTATGAGATCTAATGATATATCTCGGAGTAGATGATACGCAGCAGTCTGGCACAGCTGATTGCCGGCTGCTGCTTCATTTTGATTTCCTGGTAGCACCAGGGTGTCAGATTCCCCGGAGTGTTTGTAGCGGTACCGGAATGTGTAACGCGTCCGTACTTTCATTCACATGCATTTTCGCTGCATTTTTCCGTCTATTTTTCGCGTGCTTTTTCTCAGGGTGACAACTAGTGGTTGAGAGTGTGTGTGTAAGCGTACGTTCCATTTTTCTTCGGCGTGCGCTTTTTTTTCAACCGTTGGAGCGCGCCCTTTAACTTGTTGTGTCGTTTTCTCGAAAATTAGAAAATAAAAAGATATTTCTGTTAGAGCGCAAATAAGGCATAATTTTTCCGGAGCGGCAAGGGACGGGGATGGTTTTCCTGAGGTGTTGGAAATAATACAACATACTTCGGTTAAGCCTTGTGATGCACAGCATTAGAGATCAAATGATTACTTGAATGGTTTTTCATATTCCTCTTATTTTATGTAGGATATTTAAACGATATATAAATTTATGCATTACAGAATGGTATCAACTTATTTAGTACATCATGGATACTGTGCTACAGCTGAAGCTTTTGCAAATACGACAAATCAGATTTTTGGAGAAGATCTTGGGTCAATTAAAAATAGACAGAGTAAGTATGACTATTTATTTTTATTATTCAAACTGAAATAATCTATAGTACAATTAAAAGTGTATACTAAAATGGAAGGATTATTCAGTGACATGTGGGCCTAGATGACTTAGGCCTAGCCTTAAAATAATATCTTATTAAACTACGGGACGTGATCCAAGTAGTAAATAGTCTCTTGCTGTCTATTAGTAAAATGCATACAGTTAATGGTCATTCTAGTTGAATTTATTTACACCCAACCATGTCATCAACGATTGAACCAAGATAAAAAAGAACCTTCTATCCGTCTTACTACGAAAATAATAAGATGTACATACTTACATAATTACTTGATATATTCTTCAATTTCAACATTATATTATAAAATATATGCTTACATTATTATATATTCTTAAGAATTTTAGCCTATTATCATATTTATTTTTCTTGCATTTCATATGAATAACAAATTTTCTATGCCACTAGGCAATATCTCTCAAAAATGTCTTCATATTACATTTATTTTTATTTGGGTATGAAAAATGAATTGAATATAAAATTTTTAGAGGGCATTACCATCTAGGATATTTTTGTTCAATGATATTTAATTAATTTGTATTACAATATGATCAATACAATGAACGAATAAATTAGTAAGAAAGTAATAATATTAGCATATTTGCAACACGTACGTTAATAATTTAAGCCCGAACAACGTTGCGTCACAAATTATTTAAGGGAAAAGGCTCGGAAGGCGCACTCGCTTCGTCGCGGAAAATTAACGAGGGCTATGTCGTCCAGTAATATCGATAATCGCGGTTTGACTAGTTACGAGAGAGACAGGTTGCATAAATAAACTTATCGGTTCGGATATTTTACACTTTATTAAAACAACACTATACATGTGGCGTTAGACGTGTGCGTCGGCCAAGTCCGGGCTAAGTCTATTCCGTGCGAATTAACGCACAGGAAACAGACCGTCGCTTTACAATTGTCCCGCGAATTCCGCGAGGGTGATGAGAATTCTTCACGCATACAGCCACTCGTCCGCGTCCGGCCGATACGATGCTTGAAGAGAGAGAGAAATCGAGGCGCACACCGAAAAAGAAAAAGGTTACCTGACCTTGGGAGGGAGCGCTACTGCGGAAGTCCGCGTCCACTGGGCCAACGATGTCGTCCTCAAGGCGGATTTAGAAGGATGTAGCTGGTCTTCCTCTTTGATGCTGTTCTCTCGATGGCAATCAACTACACACACTGGTTTTTTGTCAAAACCCTACTATTGTACGATCTCGCGCCTTCCTCGACGTCTTACGCGCCCCTCCCCCCCAGGCACCCAAAACGGCCGAGCGCCGCCGGCTACGCACACATGTGCGACTCATGCCGTCGACACTACTTCTCTCTCTCCTCCTCTGCTCCCCGCTCTTACCCTATCCAACGCCAGGCATCTCCGCCGATCAGGAATCAAACCTGCAACAAAGCCACATCGTGCGTTGATACTCGATTTTAATCAACCAAGACCGATGTGGCAGCGGCTCAGGTAAAGGCACGCGGAAGAGAGAGAGAGAGGCGAACAGGGCGATCGAACTCAACGATCGATTCGCCCGTCACATATTTCTTTTTCAAAAAGTTATGACAGCTATGTCAGCTCAGATTGTAAAAACCAAAAAATCACAATACCATAGTTGTTATCAGTGCCCTAAAAAGCCCGATAAATCCTTATATCCTGATTTTTATATAAATAGGTTAATCTTATAAAATTTAATTTGCTAGACTGGATCCGCCATTTTAAATTAACCTTATCTTTAATTTTTCTTAAATTTTGGAGATATGACTTCATATTCGTAATCAGCGATCCTGAAAACCTCTCTATACCGATTTTGGTATGAATTGGTTGTACTTTTTAAATTCGATCCTCCATCTTGGATCCGCTATTTTGAAATTTGTAAATCTGACTTCATATTCGTAATCAATGACCATAAAACCTTTATATATCGATTAGTTCTATCTTTTAGAGAAATATAAGATGCCAGACATTTTAGAGTAATGCAATTAGGCCTTAAGGGCCTCTTTCTCTCTTTCTTCGTTGTCTTCTTTTCTCACTCGTTGTCGCCCTCGCCAGCCCACTCTTTTGGCTCGTTGATTACTATTGACCGCTGAATGAAAACAAACCGCAATCGGCGCACTCTTAAAATGCGCTCAACGTCGCACTACGGCAGAAATGGAAAATTTTTTGGACAAAATTAAATATCTTTTGATTGGAAAAAGGTATCGACATAAATCCAACGGCATTTTGAAGCTTGATTGATACTGAATAAAGAAAAACTATAGGGTTTATCATTATATACAGGGTGACCCATTTTAATCGCTACACCTGGATTTTTCGAATTCCAAGACAGATAGGAAAAAATGGTTCAGACAAAAGTTGTAGGGGACGAAAGGGGCCAAACAATGGTTCTATCAAATTTGACCTTGAACTTGATCTTCAAGGTTATTTCAAGGTCAAATGGTTTTTTTTTAATAGGAACACCTATTTTTGACCCCGGATTCGGAAAGAGCGGAAAATTTCACGTTCATAACCATATTGAGACATTTTATTCACGGTCATTTCAAGGTCAAATCAATGTCAAACTCCGAAAAATCCATTTTAAGTCGTTTTTCCACGAGTCACAGGCTTAAGTGGTTCAAATTGATCGTTGATTTAAAACGGAAACCCATACACCCAAAACTTTCACATCCTAGTAAACAAAAATCTAACTTGCACATCCGAACCCCATTCTCTTCATAGCCTCACATGCTAAACTGTTACACCAGACATCCCCCAGTCCCACACATCTCTATCCCATGTATGATGTTTGTTTAACGGAAACTTCATGATCATTGAAGCTTCTGTAGTAAATGTGTCAACCTTACGTTTAGCGCTACCCAGAAACAACGACGTGGACGTAGTAAAGACTGTTTCCTTTGGGGTGCTTGAGTGAGTCCCCGTGCCTCTCACTGTTCAGGGTGCATAATTAAAGTGAGTCCCTTCGCCTCTCACCGTTCGGGGTGCTTGATTTAAGTGAGTCCCCATGCCTCTCACTGTTCAGGGTGCTTGATTTAAGTGAGTCCCCTTCGCCTCTCACTTATGTGTTTATCTAGCCTCGAAGCAAATGTTCGAAATTACGACCATTTGCTTCCAGGCACATAGTCAAACGCCTTTGGAAGTGTCGAACGGTGTTTAGCAAAGTTTGCCTTGGAATGGCATCGCAAGCTCGACGAATTCTGTCCATCATGTCTAATCTTGTGGTGGGCCTTTCCGAAAAAACGGCATTTTTTAAGTACCCCCATAAGTAAAAATCTGGTGATGTAAGCTCGGGTGAGCAAGCAGGCCATTCAACCGGACCACCTCGACCAATCCATCTGTTACCGTACTGATTATTCAAAAAAGTCCTGACAATTCGAGCGAAATGTGGTGCTGCGCCGTCCTGCTGGAGCCACATTCTCCGTCGCGTTTCTAAGTCAACATCTTCCATCAATACAGGTAGTTCATCTCTTATTAGCGTTAAATACGTGTGTTGACTAACATTTTTTTCGAAAAAGTAAGGGCCAATCAAATATCCATTAATAATCCCACACCATACCATAATACTCCAACGTCTTTGATGGTTTACAGTTCTGACCCAATGAGGATTAACATCAGACCAGTAATGACAATTATGTCTATTCAATTCCCCATCACTTTGAAATTTTGCCTCATCAGAAAAAAGAACAAAATTAAAAAAGTCTGGATCATTTTCTATCATTTGTAAAGCCCATTGGCAAAACACAATACGCTGTTGAAAATGAGCAAACTGTAGCTCTTGGACCAGAGTAATATGATATGCATGATATCTAAGCACCTTCATAATTCTTAAAAATGTACTTTTTGGAATACCGATTTCCCTTTCGACTCGACGAGCGCTTATCTGTGGGTCAAGATGAATTATTGCCAGAATAGTCACAACCCGATTATCATTTTCATCATATTGATGGCGCCCACGTTGACGAACGATGTGTCCACCACGAGCTCTTTGAGTTAAACGTCTGATAGCCATAGCTTCGGGGTGTCGTCTGTCTTGATAGCGTTCAGCATAAATTCTTGCCGCAGCACGATAATTATTTCGGCTTTCTCCTAAAGCCAACGTCATGTCAACGATCTCGTTGGGCGTGTAGTCAGCCATTTCAGAGGCAGCTATTAATTATTATTAAATTTGAATAGTGAAATGGTATAAAAAATAATAATAATTATAATATTCACCCGTATACGGTCGCGACCAAAAACGAAAAATGTTCCTAGATTACGGTAACTTTATCTGACTAAATGTATTTGCCACAAGTGTTCCGATTGTCACACTTTTGTAATTGTAAGTTTTATAATAAAGTAATAATCATTAAATTATTTATAATTTGAATTGCACATAATACTAAAACTTGCTTTTATTTTAAATATTGTGAATTATTTCCGTTCAAACTTAAAAAATACTAATATTGATAATGTAATCATTAAAAGCACATTTACAAATAAATTCTGTTCAGTCAAAGATTCTTGTAATAATATCTGAACTGCTGACCGATTTTAATATTTTCCGCACATTTTTAATATTAAACTTTATTTTTCATAGTTTGATTCTAGAAAAAATAGCTTTGATGCTTTTTGTACAAAAAAGAAATGTTGCATATTTATTGTTTCGAAAGTTATGACTATTCTTTTTAAACAATCACATTATTTACAGCTCATATCTTCAATTTTCTCATAACTTTCAAAAAAATAAATAAAGATACAACATTTCTGTTTTTTACAAAAAGCATCAAATTAGTTTTTTATAAAATTTACAATTAATAAAGTGTGACAAACGTTTTTCTTTTTTAGTCGCAACCACATACAGGCGAATATTATAATTATTAATATTTTTGATACCATTTTACTATTTAAATTTAATAGTAATTAATGGCTGGCTCTTAAATGGTTGACTATCAGCCTAAAAAGATTATTGACACGACGT